TATACATATCTGCTTAGAAATTAGCTGGTGTATGCTTATGGGCTCTATGCATTTTTCGGGAAGTGAAGTCACTTAATATATCATCTTGCCAATATATATTATTTAGAACCAATCATTGGGGCCCACCATAAGATGCTCGTAAGCTAAAAATAAAAATAATAATGATACCTAATAATAGCAATAACTCTGCCTACATTATGAAGTCTTTCTATAGATATACCCTACGCTTAAATAATAATAATAACAATACAATACTCAGAGTTCTGTTTAAGATTATATAAGATTGAATTATTCAGTTAGTCCTTAAAACTAAATTGAATTATTAAACCAAAAAATGATATCCATAAAAATGTCAAAATAAACTTGAAAATAATACAGAAAAAAGGTCTTACCTTGAAGCTGAATTGCTGAGCTTTGATTATTGAAAAAACGTTCCACGCATAAATCAAGTCATAAGCTGTCTCTGGATTATTAATATGCTCAGGAAAAAGAATTTTATGATTTATTGGCATTAGACAAACGCCAAATGTGCAGGTCCCACCTCTGCTTGGGTAGAGGATTAGCAAAAGGAGGCAACACAGGCTCCCGCTGAATGCCACAACGGATAACAATCAAGCACACAGGTGAATGTATAAGAGTGTGTGTAAGAGTGTGGAAGAGTGTTTGTGAGTATATGTGAGTGTGTAACAAGTCAATTTGCAGAGCAAATTTGTTCACTTTATGCAGGCACAAATCATTTTTCTATGCTGGACGTTGGGCACGGCAGAACTGCGCGAATTTTAATGAATAGTCTGCCCCAATACTATGTGTAAGTAAGAATGTATTGTGTGTGTGTGCTCTCTGTATTCCCTTCGGCAACAAAGCTGTAAAGCAAATGCATGCTGCAGCCAAAGCCAAATCTAATTTCTCATGTATATTTCAAGCCCAAAGGATTCGGTGGCACTTCTACAAAAAAACATGTTCAAAATTTATTTTCCATACATTTTAAGAATCTAATCTAAGTGAATCTATAATTTGCTACTTGACTATTGATGCTAGTCAGAAAATATATACATATTTTTTGGAGTCTGTGAACTCACTTTTCCTGGCTGTTTAAATTCATTTCCAGACTTATCATCATTCGTTTTACTTTAGATAGAGACAATTATGAAACATTCTCTATAAATATATTTATATATAATATTCATTATTTATTTATTAAATTCAAAATTTGTATATATTAAATTATTATTTTTGACATTTCGAAGGGCATTTTGTGGTCGGCCAAGAGCAGCGTATTCACTTGCTACAATGATTTGTTGTTAAGGCTCTTAGCTGGCATTTGGCGCAGTTGGACTCGGGACAAAAACAGAAACAACAACAAAAACAACAATATGGAATACAAGTGCAACCTCGGCTATGGTTCCGGTTTTTGGTTGTGGTTCTGGCTTCGGGCTTATTATGATTGCAACAAGCAAGTTGGCTGGCAATTATTGCTCGGGTCGCTTGAAAACAGGCAGGGAAAGGGCGAGAGAGATAGACAAAGAGAGGGAGAGTGAAAGAGAGAGAGAGATGTAGCTTGCGAATCACTCTTTAATGCGCTTGCTTTGGTGCCATTTGCCACAGTCCCTAGTTTACAGTCCGAGGTCTCGGTGCAATTGAGCTTGAAATATGTTTGAAGTGCTTGCGCCCATTTGTAGGTCCTGGCGAAAATTTGGCTTTGTTTAGATCGCAAATGCAGTGCTCCAAGCCACTGTGGCCCACAATCCGCTTAAAAACTGTACGCACCTCGGATACTTAACCCTCAAAAAGAGGAAAAACCTCGTCGTTCAACTTTCTGCTCGATATCAACAGTTTCATTTACTGTGAAGCGGGCAGGGAATCAAGTATCGAAATCGCTTGTGGTTAAACTTTAACCACCGCATTGCAGCTATAAATTGTTACAAAGTTTCAGCAATTAGGTAGAAATATTTTGTGCAAGCTCTGAGCTCTGAGCTCTGAGCTCTGAGCTCTGAGCTCTGTGCTCCTCTGTTAACCGCATTACCGAAAACAACTGCAATGTGGCTAGCACAAAATAAATGCCCTTGCATGTTTAAGCCAAATAATAATAAGGAAAACAGCTGTATTTGCCGTTGTATTTGTTGCTGCCATTAGCTTTGGCCTGATTGCCAGCTGCTCTTCGCCTGGTCCGCCTCCGTCAGCTTGAGCTGAGGTTGCTCGGTTTTCCTGTGTTTCTTTTGGGAATTTGTTAGAACTTATGGCCAACATGGCTATGGCTATGGCTTATGGCTACAACCAACGGACTGGGCAGTCAAAATGCTAAAAACGCACTCCAATAGGAAGTGAAATTAGCCAAACTACAAAGATAAACCGAAATAGAAATTAAACAGATCATAAACAGCGAAAGCTGGTAAAAGCTTTCTATTTATACCAAGCCAAGTTGTAGCCAACGTAAATACCACAAATCTTAAGCTATGCCACACCGCCGAAGCCCCACACAACTGTGAATGGTAGTTAAGTTTAGGCTATGACAATTGATTTGAGTTGACTTATTTTTTCACATATTTTTTTTATATATTTCAAGTGTCCATGATTCAATTTTAATTTAAAATGTCAAGAATTTTGAAAGTAATTAATTTATTCAAGTACTGAATAAGCACTGAATCGTATATATAGTTTAAATCTTGTTTATGACCTGTAAATATTTGTACAATGATGACAATTAAATTGCGAAATAAATCTGGTCGGCATAAAGAGTCAATAAGCAAACATAAAATCCTTGAACAATAAATTTCTAAACAAACAAAATATAAATTCATAGGATTTATGACATTTTTTATCAAATAATTACTTAAACAATAAATCAATTTAATGAAATGATATAAATAAATAAAAGGGAAATACATTAATAGTGTGTTAACGAGCCAAAATATAAAAAAAACTAAGATGACTCTGCTGAGACTAAAGCTACCCTGTAATTGCCAAAGCAGAAAATGCTCTAATTGAGAGCAAAATACGTTACTTTCTGTAATAGTCTAGATTGAAGAGGCAATTGATTGTATATGGAAATAGCTCTCTTTATTCATCGCTATGTATAATATGTATAAAAATGAATCCCTGCTTTCTTTATAGGGTTAAAGGGTATATAATTCGAAAACAAAGAACTCGCACGCATTGTCATTGCTATTAATAAAGGAAAATAATAAATTATCATTGAGATCGCAAAAAAAAAATATTATAATATAAATAAGATAAATGCAGCAAATTGAACAATCGCTAGAAGAGCCGTTCGCTCATGCCACGACCATAGATGCTAAGCACACATAGACTATAGATACAGTCAGCAAATATAAAAAGTCTACAATTCTCATTGTCAACTCCGGCTTTGACCAATAAATTTTGCTATCAGAGCAGCCCATTGGGAGATGAGGCGAAAAGAGAACTATTTGTAATATAATGGGTATTTGTGTGGCTGTGTGTTTCTCTTTGTAAGTGTGTGCGTGTGTGTGTGCATTCGGTATGTCTTTGTATTGCGTGCCTATTGGTTGCAACAATTGTCAACATAAATAAAATTAAATGTATATCTCTGGCGTATATAGGAGACAGGCGCCCAACTGACAGCCAGTACGGACAGGCACACACACATACACAAGCAGACAGACAGACACACACACCTGTCGGTGGCTGTCAAAGTGACCGTTTCATTTAATACAAACGCATCGTTTGCTTGTTTTGCCCTCGACGAGTGGAAATTAAATACAATCTTCGCACGCACACACAATTGACTGGGTCACGGTCTATCCCTCTTATTCTCACTCGCTCTCTCTCTCTCCCTTTTTTTCTCAGGGCATATAGAAATTGCTCCAAATTGCCATAAGGCGGCATTACCTTTTATCTACCTGGCAGAATTTCCATTTGCTTAGCTTAGAATATTTGTTTAGTCACCTTTATGTAGCTCGCAGTTGCTGGCTTTGCCCTTTAATGCAGAATTAAAGAACGGCAAGTACACTGTTAAAAAAAAGTGCAACTAATACAATAAAACAGCAGACTTCAATGAATGAAATAATACGTGATATGATATTGGTATACTCTTAAGCAGCTATGGTTATTGGCAATTCATTTCGTTATTTAATTTACTTGGTAATTACTTAAAATTGACAAATTATTTACTTATTATAAATATATATTTCAAGTGATCAAATAGAAATTTGCAACACTTACTCCTCTCTCAACCGAAAGCCTTTAGTTCACTCTCACTGTGTCACTGCTTACCAATTTATTATATTTCAATTAGAGATAAATTTGTTGACATTAATTAACAATTTATTAAATAAATAAATAACATCCAATTCTCGTATACCTAAATTAACTTGGCTTTAATAATCATTCGTACCAAATCTTATAAATCAAGATTATTACCTTTGTTACTCCTTCCAATATAGTTTCTCTGGTTTTTAGCAGTGCATTCAATCAGTTTGTCTGGCAAAGTATTCTGTGGGCATCTGACAGAGAGAGAGAGAGAGAGGGAGAGATAAAGTGTGAGAGAGAGAAAAATGTCCTTGACATTTCTTACGCTTATCGTTGTCAGGGCAGGCGTTGAAATTGTAATTTGTTTAATCTCAGGTGGGCAACGAACAGGCGCAGCGAAGACAAAGAAATAATGCCCTGCCATGTGTGTGTGGGTGGAGATGTTGGCGACCAACTCCATCTGGATGGAGAGTTTAGAGGTGCGATTGGGTGTGTGAAAACCACTTAATCCGCGTGACAGCTGTGTCTGCGGTTGTAGCATGTTTTTCCTAATTAACAGCAAAATAATGCTAATCCAATGAGAATGGGAAGAAATGTACATGGCGTGGAAGGAAACAACTTGATGTTTATATTAAAATTAATTAATTTATTTATTTCATAATATATAAATTACATTACAGAAGTGGCCCGCGCTGCGTCGCCAAGAAAATATAAATATACAAATCAACTTTCTTTCACATTTAACTAATTTGTTTTTGGTGTAGCTGCGTGGGTGTGTGTGTGTGTTGATATTTGCATTGGTGTGTATGCGTGTGGGTGTGCGTGTGCGTGTGCGTGGGTGTTAATTGGCGTTTTACATGTGGCGCGTGTTGCTAAAGCCGCCATGACCCGCCTGGGAGGCGCCCTTATTGAAGCCCATCTGCAAGTTCAGCTCACCCTCATGAGCACGCAGCTGCTCTTCGGTGAAGGTGCGCTCGTTCTTTTCGGACATCTTGGGACCCAGAGTCGGGCCAGTGAATTCGGGATGTTTTTGTGTCTATCGAATCAAAGTTTTTGTTATGAAACTCAATATCGTCTGGAATGTGCCAGTCAGGTACTTACAATACGACCCAGGGCGTACAGCGAAAGGGTCACTTGTGGAATATTGCGACGCTCGAACAGATCGGCAGTTTGGAATATCTCTTCCTCGGGCACGCCGTACTTCTTCACCGCCGCCTGGAAGCGCTGAATGTTCTCCATCAGCTGGAAGTTGGTGCCGCGCTCCTGAATCTTCTTAACGGAGCCAGGGGCCAGCTTATTGGCCAGCTTGCACAGCCAGATGCCGTCCTTCAGAATATCCTCATACTGGCCGCTGGGCACTTTTTCGCCGAGCACTGCGAAGATCCAGTTGAGCACCTCCTGTTCCTGTTCCTTGTTGCGTGGCTGCAATAGAGTAAAACGAGACCATCAAATATGTGCCGAACAAATCAATCTGTTGTAATTGGAGACCATTCAGTAAACACTTCGATTGCCCAGCCCTCCATGAAAACATTCCTTCCTTTGTCTAAAAATAAACAGACAAATCTCGTAGATTGCCCGCACTCAGCCGAAAGTCAACAGAATGGAGGCTTAATTTTGTTTTTTTTTTTTTTTTTCATTTAGCAAATGTGCGCAAATAGCGACGAGGCAGCTTCGTCCCACGCTTTGGGCCACGAGTGAATTGCCTTTAAGCCCGACGCCTACTTCGAATAGCATGCCGCTGCCCTTTGCCCTCAGGAAAGTGAGGCACGAGAATGAAAATGGAAATGAAAATGAAAACGAATAAGTGTACATTCATTTTCCAATTAATTAATTTCGATTTTAATGGCGCGGCACGTGAAAAGCTCAACCGAAACCGCGGTCATCGCACAGGCGTCGCAGTTTATGTGACACTTTTCGCTGACAGCCAAAGCCACTAACTGCTTAATTGAAATTTACTTTGAGCCGCCGACGCCTTACTTTGGGCCAATTTGAGATTGGCAAAGTCCGGCCGTCTTTTCCATTTGCGACCTGTAAGCCTAATTAGTGTAGGACTATAAGTAGACGATGTTAAAAAAGATGCTTCTGGCTCTTCGACCTTAGGCAAACGCAAAACATTTTATCTTAAATTCAATTTGATTAAAATTGAGTGCTCCAAAATCATACTTTACACAAGATAATGTGCATGTAGAGCTTATAAAGGTAAGCAATACCCTTGATTATACGCACTTAAAGCAAATGTACTCTTATAAAGATTTATACATTTTCAGTTAGATTTTATGGATATTTTAAAGGACCTTAGGCTACCTGTGTATATTTTAAGTAAACAATGATTGCTTAATTGCGCAACAACTTACAGAAGGGACAATCTAATTACCTTGACTATTATTACTAATTGCGCCCCGCCTCCTGCTCTATTTTCATTTCAGAGTTCGGCACAACATGGCGTAGGCGCAACAATGAGATGCTGAAATAATGGGCAAATATTTTAATTGAAATGCCATGGTCGCATGATTTGTTAATATTTTTACTAAAAATATTGTGATTTACAGTTGTTGATGTGGCTTTGTTCATACATACATTGAAAGTTGTAATTTGATTTGCGGGCAGGCGTGCAAATAAAATAAATTTGTCAAAATCCAAACTGTCCGCGAAATGTCAAATATATTGTTGTACTAACAAATGGAAGAGTTTGTATGTGGTTCCATGTTTTTCATATGAAATATAACATATTTAATGTATGTGCATAAATACGCAAAATAAGAAATTAAAATTTAATTGAATATTTTATACTGAAGTAGGTTGTTTTACGTTGTTGTTTTATGTTGGTTCAGGCGGCACTGATGCATTACCATATTTTGCGAATATTAATGCTGCATTTCAATACTTCTTTATTGTTATGATGTGTACTTGCATATGTATATATATATATATATTATTTATTTATGGGCTTGTTTGGTCGATATTTCAGTGGGAACAGAGCCACGCTTAAATAGCCGTCAATGAAGCGAGGGCATTTTAATGAATTGCATATCAATTTGCATTCGCAAGGGCTTCGATTTTAATTTCTGTTGTACGGGTGGGTGTGGCTTGCCTTTATATGTTAATTGAATGTACAAACAGAAAACTAACGAGAGCTGTTGCAGTCGCTGCTCTGAAATTATTAATTGATTGTCGGATATTCAATTTTACATTGTTCACACTTTTAATATTATTCACAACTTCACAGACGGCTTTTCACAGAGATATTGACCCCGCAAGTGCACTTGTATATACTGAGTCGTCGAAGTACTAACAATTAAGCTATAATTTATCAGTTGCTTATTCAAGAGAGGCAGCTATAGGTCTTCAAGAGCTTCAAGAGAAAATGTCCCTGGTTAATTTAAATCTCAATAAACTACTTTATAAAGCTCCAACAGATATTGGCTCAATTTTTTTGCAAGTTAAAGAAACCAAAGTCAAGATCTTGAAAACCAAATTTAAGCTAAGATTCTGATTTAAGTACAAACTATCAAGCCTGTTATAAACTTCCTGCTATAGAAGTAATGTTTCTTAAATATATATCAACTAATCGTCTACATTCTTATATAATTTTGTAACTTTTCAAAAGTCACATGTAAATATATCATTTTAATATTTACTTTATAAATATATTTTATCAAAAATATTTAGAAATTAATTTTTCTTTCATTTCCTTTCGACAGCTCTATAATTGAAATAGTTTCTCTAGATTTTAACATTTTATGAAATTTGAATTCAGCAAAATATGTTATGCACTTGACACGCCTTGAGTCGGGGACAGCCTGCCATTGCCCCAATGCTGGCTACATGGACAGCCCTGACCTTCAAATAACCCCCAATTTGTGCTGGCTGGCGACCCGTTTTCACTTTACACTTTTCAGTTTTCAGCTCTCAGTTTTTTCAGCTGTTTGCCTTTTTTCTGCCGCGGGCATAAATAAAAATTTTCATTTGAACATAAAGATAAACGTTCACTTTTGCGTTTTTCTTTTCTCTTTAGTTTTTTTTGTGGACGCCAAAAAGTGTTGATGTTGTTTTGCTGCTGCTGTTGCTGACTTTGCTATTGTTGTTGCTATTATTTCAATTTGTCATTTGGACCAGTGCCAATTGGCGACCGCCACCCAGCATTAACCAGCAAATGAAATAAAAATGTGCATTCGGCGCTCACACGACTAAGCAGACCATTCAGCCCACATAACACTGGCCCGTTCTGAAAGAGACAACACACGGTCGTCCTTAATGGGCCAGTGAAGATTTTTATTTGAGCCTTTCATGCTCATTTTTGGGTTACTTTTTGCTTGGCAACATTGTGTGAATGTGCACACAGAGCAGGCTTCCTGTATACATATTAAGCAGTTCATATGTTTACAGCCGCCATTACATTTTATGTTTGTATTATAACTTTTGCTAATTGGATTGTTGCCAATGAAATCGACAGATGCCGGTCAATAATTTGCCTGATTCGTCCTCGCCGAGCAACAGTTCGTTTGTAAACTATAAACAAAATTTGCAAAGCAACAAATTTTGTACTATAAGCAAATCTAAAATTCTGACGCCATCATTCGTATACAAAAATAAATCTATAAGAAATTGTCAATTTAAGTCATCCAAAGATTTAATAAAATAATAAATGACAACAATTGTGTTTTAGCAATTGTGTGAATTTAGACTTCAGTTTTTTACAGTTGTTAATTATTAAATTTTTTTTATCAATTTTAAGTCAACAACTTGAGCTATAACTTATTTAAAGATATTTAACAATTTAAAAAAACGTAAAAAAATTATTTTTTTTAATTTTAAATAAATTAAAAAAATTTAAATAAAAACTTCATTTTTGTACATTTATAAATACCCGTTTTTTGTAGATGTACAGAAAAAACATTCAAAATCCTTATTAAATGTAATTTATAAAAATTTTACAAAATAGACATCTTATCAGATTCATGACAGAACCACTGAGGCGTGATATCTTAGACTGTAAAATCATTCGCAGCCACTCAACAGCTGAGAGCTAAAAATGTATCTCTTGCGACTGTTAGGTGTAATAAGCCTTGGTCGAGTTTGACGGCCTCAGACCAGGGCCCCAAATTGTCAACAAAGGGATTCTTTATTCTCATAAATAAAAATACAAAGTGGAGAGGCGCAAATATGATATATGAGTGTGAATTACGAGCCGCAGCAGCTCTCCTGTGCGTATGGGTGTGGAAAGTGCCTGAATATAGCGGATATACTTTGTATGCATAAAAATAATAGTGTCAGCCACACAAATCGAGAGTCGCTGCTGTATTTATTGCTAATTGACTATTTAAATATTAAATCAGTAAAGAATATTTAATTGAATCCCAAACATTACACATTGCACACTTAAATGTTGTCGTCTATAATTGCTTACTTAATTAAACAAAAAACCAATTGAAATACATGCGCTTACAGTAATAAAAGTTATCGCTGTATTGCTGTACTCACTGCTTATTCAAATGAGGCCATGTCTAAAATTAAAAACTTCTCTTTATGCTTCTCAGTCTAAACTAGAAACATATTTGAATTAAGGGAAATTTTTAAAATTCTGCTGTTTATGTGTTATACACAAATATTATACTAGTATAAAGAATATCGAAGTTATTATAGATCAACAAAAGTAAACACTATTCATATGACATAGCATCTATAGTGTATATAGTGTATCGCTTCAACGGCTGGTTGTAACTTAAAATTGATTATTGTTTTCATCAGTACGTGACTTTATTGAAATTTAAACAATAAAATTTGTATTATAATGCACATAATTGTGCTTATATGTAACTGTTTTATAGTAAATAAACAAAGGGCAGATTTACAGAGGCAATGGCGTAATGCTTAAATTGTAAAATGATCCCTCTTGAAATGTACATATCAGATTTTATGGGGAAAATCATTTATTAAATCAAATGTAAAATATATATTATTCGAATATTATATATATATTAATATGTTTCATGATTTCCTACTATATTCAGCACTTTTGTTTACATTTCATAGCTCATTAAGCCACTCTGTCTAGTAGAGTCTAGTCTCAAAAGGTATAAGCAAATTTACTGGAAAGATTTTTATCAACTTATAGCTTGATGTTCATTGACACTCACTAAGGCGATTTGCCAAACTTAAGAGAAAACTCAATGTTTATTATTTATCCACTCATATTTATTAATTACCAATCACAAAGAGATGAAATCACATTTATATGAAAAATTTCAATAAATTTGCATTTTCTTTAATTATTATAAACTTTTTTATTCCTGAAGCTTCTATAGCTTTGTCCATGATTAATAATTATTTTCTTGCAACACTTACAGCCATTGTATGTTTAGTTTCAAAAATGCTGAGCTGTGCGCGACTTTTGCGAACAAAATTGAATTTTCGACTGACGCAAGTTGTTGAAACAGTTTTCCATTTATCCTAAGAGGCCAGAGATAATTTACGAAAATGTTTTTTTTTTAGGTTAGACTAATGCCTCTGCCAGCAGCGATGCTGATAGCCACGCCAGCAGCGACGCCAACGCAGTGTTCGGCATTAGACGCCGATTCGCCTGTTTTTCGAGTGCCAAAATCACCCGAAATAAAGCCAATGTAGGAGGCAGACAAGGCGGGCGAACAAATATAGAAATGAGCAGCGGAAGCGCTATATGACGTCACGATACCAACAGCAACAACAACAGCAATAAACTATTACAGAAATATGAAATTAAATATAAACTTTTAGCAGAAGTGTGGCAACTTCTAGTGCCAGACCAGAAAACGAAAACTATTTTCCTTTCGCTTTTCTACCCCACACATATCGAAAGCAATTTGCCAAGAACATTGCTACGTACTGACTGCTCATTTGTATCTGATAGATACTGAGATCCATGTGTGTGTGCGTGGGCGCTGCTGTCAGATGTCAAGTTCAGGTATATCATATACTTATCTACATATACAGATATATATATATATATATATATATATATATATATATATATCTTATATATATATTGCAACTTATTGCACATTTTTGATTAATTAGCGCACTTTTCTTACACTTGCAGCTAATTTCAGAAATGATGTTGGCGCTGACATTGACTTTGTATATTTTTATAGAATTTTTTCTCGAATGTCACTTAGCGAAAAAATGCGTCAATTTGTTTTTGGCTTATGGCACATTTGTGCCTGTTCACGCTTCATTTCAGCCAAATAGACGCGCCACATGAAGGTCGCACAAATAAAATTGTAATTTCAATTAAAAGTTTTCTCCGACACTCCGGAATGCCAACAATTTCGCTAAAAGGTAAACATGTTTCTGGGGTGCCTGCCGGCAGGCACGCCAACGAGGTGCTGGAACTTTGTCATTCCATTTGTTTATTTGAAAGCAATTAAATTATCTAGCACCACATTTTGATCAAGTTCAAGTTGAAGAGTGCTGCCATAGAGCATATTTTGAGATACTTTCGCAAACAAACATAAACAAAGCATCTGGAGGCACACTCTTTTCATCTACCACCTGAAGCACATAAATTTTCGCACCTCTGACGTTTATTTTCTATGCCACGTATAAATATATCTATTTGCTTGCTGTTATTGCTGGGCGCCACTTGTATGGGTTGGCGGGCCGCAGCAATTATTGGAATTCAATGAAATATCAAAGAGAATCGAGAGAAAATATTTTTAATATACTTGTGTGTGGTGAGTGTTAGTAATACGGCTTGATTCATGAACATCATTTTATTTTGTATTTATTTTTCAATAGATTGAAGCCTTTCATTTTATCTCACTACAAAATAACAAGCATCCGATTTCAATGAATTTTAAATAGAAAAGGTATGTTACAGAAATTTGATTTACAATTCCAATATATTTAAATACTTATCGTATTCATACATATATTTACATTTAGCTCTAACGATGTATATTTTTTATCAATCTCCACCTTACGTCAGAGGATGCCACACATATAAATTTTTAAATTCTGCTTTAATAGAGTCCAGTTTCTTACATAAGAGCTTAAGACTCACGTCAAAGGATTACTTACATACATACAGGTATATACGCTTATGAGCTTAACTGAGGTCCACTTTAAAAGCTTTTGCCAGTATGTTTAACTTAGTGTCTCACGGCATTTTGAAACATCAGGGAAATATAGAAATGTTCATAAAATATTTATTTTTCCTCATAATTGAACTTTTACGCTGAACGGCAATAAATTACCCGTAATTCTCAAAATTTAACCTAAATAATTTTAATGAAATGTAAAAGGGAGTGAAATACAAATATTCAAGCAACACCTACGTAACGGAATTTTCATAAAAATATTGTGGCCAACAGCTGCCAAGGCTGCAATCAAAATTAATTGAGCGACTCAGCGTTCAGTGCCAGCTGAATATATATATGTGAATAAGAGTGTGTATATATGTGTGCACTGGTGTGCGTGTGTGTCTGCGCCAATCTGAAGGCGTTCGCGTGGGCGACCTACACTTGTATATGTATGTCTGCTGCTCTGACAAGTGGGTAGTTTTTCTAGTTGTTTGGAACGGCCCAAGAAAGCCAGCAAAAACATTTTTGTAAAAGCATTTGATTTATAAAAACATAAAAAAACGATAAATATATGTATATATGTTTTTTTTAATCATAGCTAAGACTAAACATACTTCATACGCAGATACTCTATGCTGCTGCATTCTTGGCCATACATATATAGGAGATCTAAATAGCATAGCATGTTAAATTTGTAAACATTATTGAAAGTCCTCTCTAATACAAGTATTTAAAAAGTTTATAAATATTAAATATTAGCTAAGAGAGCCATACAATGTATAATTCCCTCTTCCGGCAGAGTATTTAAGTCGGTTAGCAGCTGCTCAATACAAACAACTGTTGCTCATAAATAAGAACAAAAATTGGCTACACAAACAAGAGACGGAAACAGAAAACAAAGCCATTCGCATCTTTTATCCCTCCAGTCCGCGCAACAATATTTGTTGATGATTACGTTCAAGGAAAACCGCACTTGTATCGAGGTCAATTGTACAAGGCCCCAAGCTATAGAAACATTTTCGCCAGCCTCTGCAGAGATTAAACTGCAAAAATCTATATTTGTCACCAATTCAAGACTTGTTTGACCTAAATATGACAAATATTCTACTAAAGGCGCTCTCTAAAGTTAGATTTATTTCGCTTATTCTGTTTAGTATAGATGAACATAATTTTGTATAAGCCGAGATTTCGAGTTTCTAGACTTATAAAATTCTGCGAAACTGTCGCTATTTAGAGAACAAGGTATTGTGCAGTTGTTTGTTTTCAACAGTTTTCATAACCTTATTGTAACTTTAAGCAGAATCTAACATTTTAGCTTCTTAGCCCTGAAATGTTTTCAATATGTATTAGGTTCAAGGGAATTAAAACAAAATTGGCAATGGATCAATTGAGTAAATAGCAAACCGTTTTTTAATGCCCCATCAAATGTCGGAATTTTCTTTTTTATTTATGCGAAAAACTATTACATTATACAAACAGTGGCGCTGCAAGAGCGAGATAGAGCGAAGAACAATTTGGTCCCGTCCAATATTTAGCATCAAGATGCGAATTTAAATTCGAGCAAGCCCCATAGCATTCGCTGCTGGCACTATCTGCTGACTTATGCAGTGTGGTCTTTTCTTTCGAGCTGCGACTAAATATTTCCCCCCATTGCCGGGGTGCGAATGTTTATCTCTGGTCGGCGCCAACAACTGCAAGACGTAAAATTTTCAATTTGAATAATTTCGCGGGCATATCTTGTGCGGTATTTTTATGCTCATTGAATGTGGCTCAGAAGAGGTTGTATTATCACACAGTTGTAAAAAACAGCTTGGAGCAAAGAAAAATTTGACAGATTTTGAAGAATCTTAGAGATGAGAAATATAATTAAAACTTATTTAAAAAATATATTTTAAATTAAAATAATAAAGTATTACCTAATAATATATAAAATATAAATAAATAATAATATTTAAACACTATTCATTAAAGCTTCTTTTTTCTTAATTTATTTAGCAACAATATATTATTCGTTATTAAAACTGAAGTTTATATTTTTAGAGCTATTTATATTTGCTGTTACAGTCTTAGTTTGTTGGCCATATATGTGTAGATTATTAACACAAGCAAAGGGTATCATCTGCCGGGCCACTCTCAACTTAGTCATTTTTACTTGTTATATTTCAGTTGGCGCTGTTCTGTCGCTGTGTTCTCATAGCTACAAGTCCAGTAAAATAGTTGAATAAATATTAAAAAATATAAAAGATAGCTGCAAAATATGCACGCTGCAGGCAACAGGCAAACAATTTACGATCTAAACTCATATAAATACATAAATATATATGTATATATATACATGGCACATACGTACACACAGATATTTGTGTTTGCATAAATTAGAGTTTGTTCTACTGCTTGAGGCAACATTTTCTGCATCTGTATCTGTATCTGTAGCTGCTGTGGTGCTAGGCCATTATATTAAAGTTTACCCGAGGCTGTTTACCAATAAGTCGCACCATTTGCATTGCAGATTCGGGCCGCACTTTTGTTTTCTCATTCCATAAAACTGCAGCGTGTAAACAATTTATTGTATCATGTTTTGGCTATTAGTAAACATTTTCTTGTGTTCGCCACCCATTTCCGTCGCAGGCCCACGCAGAGCTCTCCACTGTTATGCTCTAGCACAAATTTCACGACAGCTGCCATATGTTGCCCATTGACTTCGGGATCAATAAATACAGTTTCACTATATTTTAGAGTATATTTATTTATATATGAATATATATATATATATATATATATATATATATATATATATATATATATATATATATATATATATATAAATATAAGATGTAGCTAATTTTATTGTGTCTGGCTTATTTGTTATATTTCATGAAGCGTTAAGACACTTATGATGTGACTCATTGAATTGTGAACACAATTTAAAATGATAAATTCGTATCAAATGTTCCCTGATGTTATTTTATTATTATATTTTTATACGATATTCAGTATTCAAAATTAAATAAAAACTGAAAATTAAATAATTCCAATAAAGAAACAAGGTTTTAATCTGAAGAAGAGCATGCAAACAGAACGAAATACACAATGAAACATATGTGTGTATGCAAATGAAATTTGCTTGTCTTTTATGCAAGTGCATTAAAATATAAACATGGAAGAGCTCTTTTCTGCCCACACAGTCACTTGTGCTCGCTTCAAAGAAGACCCTTCTTCAGGTGGGCATCCTACTCTCAGCCTAGCTGATGGCTACTCAGCTAATGTGTGTGTCTGTGTTTGTGTTTGTGTGTCGTCTTTGTAATCACTTTATTTTGCATATGTGAACGTAGTTAAGTGTATAAGCTTTCGTGTGCGTGTGAGTGTGTATGACAGCGCA